GTGTTGTCGGGTCAGACCTATCGATCCATTAGTAAAATGCATTAAATCATTAGATTTCATACATAATTAAGTCATCACGTGTTTTAAGACAACAATTTCATTATACCGTAAAAGTAATGCAAAAAAACTAATAAAAAATATGATTTTTACAGTAAAAAAAAGGATTGAAAAAACAAATCACACGATATTTAGCATTGAATTCAATGCAAAAAAAACTTATGCTAAAAAACATTGACATAAAAGGGCATAAAAAACATACAAATCATTGCAAACAAAACAAAAATTAAACACAAAAACCTATGGAAAAAACACATACAATAGAAAAACAATGCAATTAATTGGGCAATAATTAAGGCATTTAGAGATGTGTTTAAATATAATTATTAAACTACAAAACTATTGCCCAGAAAACTGGTCTACAAAACAAATACAATTAAATCCCAAAACAAAATACAGTAACAAAATTAAACACTACTAAACAAAACCCTTAATCCATGGATCAAATCGCTTAAGACTAACGACACAATCAGAGAAAGGGAGAGACAATACATACAGACAATCAAGTAATCAAAAGACAAATACCTAAACCCCTGAACAAAACAAGACAACACAAAACTATACCCACAAAAACAGCCACAACACGGGTCGGCCAGTGGCCAGCCATAGGGGGGTTGGGGGCAGACATACTAACCAATAGCTTGGACTCGAGGCCAGACTTGCGGAGAGCGTTCCACACCTGCGTGGCGTCCTTATCGGACTGCCACAGCTTCAGGACATCCACCAAAAACTCGGCCGCAATGCCGTCCTTCACGAGATGGTCCTGAAGAGCGGCGGCCAACCAATTGGGCGAAATGAGTCCTCCGGCCACCAAAACGCCGGCAAATTTGGCCAATTTTGCGCGCTCTTCGGCGGTGAACGCCTTGAGAAAGACAATAATCTTCTTCAGCGACTCCTCCAACGTCTTCTCCAAGAACTTGTAGCGACGCAACAGTTTGGTCACCACCTGAGCCCACGCCCGAAGGGACTCGTCGTCGCCTTTGGCGCCGAACACCGAGGTCTCAGTGCGCGACTGTTGATCGCCCGGCTCTTCGACGATGGAACCGCCCGGCGCTAAGAGTCCGCCGGCGATAAGTATGTCGAATAGAGTCTCGCCGTACAGACGATAGTCTAGTTTAGAGGTGTCCAAGAACTTCGAGAGGGCGTCCAAATCGGCCGCTGATTGGTCGATGCCGGCGAAGATCGCGTCGCGGAATGCACGGGCGTCGAACTTCTCCTTTTCATCTAGATCAATTTAGGATTCAATTGGGATCAGTTAGTGGTGATCATTAAGACATTAGTAGTACACGCGTGTTAAGCGTAAGTGTATAGCAGGTATAAAGTGGTTAATGGGATGTGATCTTGAGAAACAATAGGGGGGTGGGAGGGGTGGTAAGGGTTAGGTGTGTTTGTATGTGTATTAGGTTAGGTTAGTTTGTGTGATAATAATTACCTCGTTTTCTGGTCTTAATACGTTGACCCTGGAGCGTGGGGCGATCTTTGGCGTTTTGAGTACTCATACAATCAGTGATCAAAATTTAGATGTTGATAGGTTAAATCTAAATGGTGTAGATATATGAAATATGGTGGTTTTGTGGTGTTTGAAACGTTCACGCGGTCGTCAATCCAGAGTAGGCCTGAGCTGTATATACGTGTGTGACGTGTGATGTGTGCGCTCTCACTGCCTGTCGATGTACTGTAAAGTGCATTGAGTGTGTGAAACACTGTGAATAGGTGTATGTGTTGTCCACAAATTACGTACGCTTTTATTGTTAACTTTATAATATAAATGCCACTATTTATCTCACCCCTCGTGTATTGTGTAAACGTGTAAAGCGTAAAAAATTAATAATGTTGGTTTGTTGTTGGTATTTTTAATTGTACAATATCACTCTGCCTCCTCACACCCACCCTATTGGATTTTAAATGCGATATGGTGTTTTAATGTTATCCAATGGATATATACATTACGCCCTCATATGAATGATCACTTGTATGTAAATATGCATTATAGGGGGCAATACATTTGCCCCCAATTGGGGGTAATTGGGAATGTTCCCAAAGGGAATAAATATATATTCCCAATTTTCCCAGGGAATATTCCTAGGAACATTCCTTTGGGAACAATTCCCAGTAGGAATTTTCAACCCTAGTGCGAATAGGTGTATGTGTTGTCCACAAATTACGTACGCTTTTATTGTTAACTTTATAATATAAATGCCAATATTTATCTCACCCCTCGTGTATTGTGTAAACGTGTAAAGCGTAAAAAATTAATAATGTTGGTTTGTTGTTGGTATTTTTAATTACAATATCACTCTGCCTCCTCACCTCTCCTCACACCCACCCTATTGGATTTTAAATGCGATATGGTGTTTTAATGTTATCCAATGGATATATACATTACGCCCTCATATGAATGATCACTTGTATGTAAATATGCATTATAGGGGGCAATACATTACTGATATATCATTACGTGGTTACTGTATTCTCCCATTAGTACAGTCAATGTTTGTATCGTTGAGTCTAAATAGGGTGGAAATTTTTCGAAACTCTACAGTAAATTCGCTTTGACTGTACTTTCAATACATTATAATAGGGGGCAGTGTTTGTCCGCCAGATGGAGTCGCACACTCTCACGTAGAGTATTCTATTAACCTGTTAAAAAAGTTTATAAAGTAACATGTAATATTAAAGTAAATATTGAACTTATATTGATTTACACTGATTAAAGTTAAGAGGGGTGTATTTATGATTAACTAGAAATACCTTGATGGTTTAGTAAACACGATATGGTCCCTCCATACTTGATTCCTTGATTATTTTTACCTTGTTTAGTGTCATAATCTCCAAATTATTAGCATGGAAATAACATTGGCACTATTTTTATACCTGTATGTTTTTGAGCTTGGCCTTTATTAAATAAATTGTAATGTATTAAATAATATTAACATTTTTAATAAACTTTAATTTGTATATATTAATTTATTTTGTGAAGTATATTTGAACAATAATTGTTAGTAATAGACTATTACATAGTTTTTAGTATTAGCGCCAGTGTGAATTAAGCTAGCACATAATTAATTTACTTAATGTAATTATGATTAATTTACATAATTAGAATTGAATATTCAAAAATGCATAATTATATAACAAAATTTAATTAAGACCTTTCTGATTTTTACGTGAAAACCTTCAAATGTAAAAATGTAACAAAAAATTGCATTTATTTTTATATACTAGTTGTCACTTCCCTTTCGGCAAAAACTATGCACATGTTTAGCAAATAATTGTTTCATTTCAAAAATTTTACAATTGATTTGACATTAAAGCGTGCATTAAAAATAACAAAGTTGATATACGGAAAAAGCATATAGTTAGTTTCAAACTGTTGTAATATCCGGGAAACGTATGGCATGAGAAATTGAAAAAGGTCTTTTTTATTCTCTACCATCGTTAAGCTATAAAATTAACGTTTTAATATTTATTTATTATAGTTGATATATTTTTATGTATTTATTTTTTACCTGTATGTGACTTAAAACACTATAACTACTGTAGTATTAAAGTTTTAAAGTTCTAGGTGTTAATTGAGTTTTAATTGTGTTAATAATTAAAATAAGCAAAACTATGCCTTAAAATATAATTAATAATATCTTAAATTTAATACTTTCATTGACTTTAATTTTATGTTAAGTTATAATTAAAAGTTACATTATTTGTAATTAAATTTGCAAAACAATAATGTCTTTCAATAAATCACTTCTGGAGTTATCGATAAAAGGGCGCAATTTTATGGTCAGAAATATCAGCAAAACTTCGCCGCAATGTATTGTATACATAGCCTCGTCGTCGACGGCCGGCGCCGGCGTTCACACCATAACCACACCCGCCGTCCGCACCGGTAATGCCGGCCACCAGTCGCTGAAGTTCGCTGAGACGGGCCGTACGGAAGTGATCCGCAACAGCCGGGCGCCGGAGTGGACGGTACGCGTGCCCATTGACTACCGGTTCAACGAGTGGCAAGTGTTGCGGCTCGAGGTCTGGGACTACGATATATGCGCCGATAATGAACTGCTCGGCCAACTTGAGCTCGAGCTCTCGGCACTGATCGCCTCCAGAGACGAAGTGACCATTAAAAGGCTGCGCTTACCGGCGCCCACACCCACCACCACCTCAGGCACTACCGGCGCTGCAGATCATAAGCCTTACCATCAGTTTCAGGTGACGGGAGAGCTGTGGCTAACCATCTCTGAGGTGAGCGACAATTAATAGCTATTAGTGTTGAACACCCAATACATGACTCACCCGTATCTCATACACACAGGTGTTGGCCTCGAAACAGACGGTGCGAATGCAATTGGCGGCCAAAACGCTACCCCAGAAGGACTTCTTGGGCTCATCCGATCCGTACGTCGTGATCACCAAAGAGGACAGCGACGGCACCTACACTCAGGTGCACCGGACGGATGTCATACACAAAACGCTGGCCCCGATATGGGCCGAGTTTACCGTACGAGTGCACGACCTGTGCGACTGCGACTACCATAAGCGGCTCTACCTATCGGTGTACGACTGGGACAGGCATACGGCCGACGATTTCATTGGCTCAGTCAGCACATCCCTCCACGAGCTGAATAGGGGTCAGTGCCGGGGCGTTACGGCCCTGGAGTTGAGCGCCGGCAAAGGGCCTCCGCCGGCACCGGGCAGTCAGCGACGGCCGAACCGGTCAGTCGCCGGCGGCGGCGATCATCACCGGAAACGCAAAAGTATTTTGATGAGGAGTATTAAGTTGACGACCGGTGGCGGCGACCATACGGCGGTTCCGGTGACCACCGCTGGCATAATGTTGGTGTCGAACATACACTTCACACAAGTGCCCACATTTGTCGACTATATGACGGGCGCCGGCACTCAGATCCACTTCTTGACGGCAGTGGATTTTACGGCAGACTCGTTGCCCTATCATAACCGGCCAGTGATGGCCGCGCCGGGTGGTGGTGGCGGAGGCATCGGTGGTAACAACTGTTTCGAGCATATCATCCAAGAGTTGGGTCAAGTGCTCGCGCCGTACGACTACCAGGGCCTGTACGCCGCCTATGGGTTCGGCGCCCGACTCGTGACCACTGCTGCCGCCGATGGTCTGCCGCCCCCAGTGTCGCACGCGTTCAACATGAAGGCCCAGTCAGTGGTGCCCTACTGTGACGGCCCGCAGGACATGATCCGCGCCTACCGAAGCTCATTGAAAGTGGTAGAGCCGGCGCCGGGCGGGTGCCGTCAGTTTGCGCCTGTGATCAACGAGTCGCTCGCGTTGGCCAAAAACTTTCAAAACGGCAAACACTACTTCGTGCTGACAATACTGACGGCCGGTTCGCACGCCGACACCGGCGACACATTGGAGGCCATTGTGAAGGCGTCGGCACTCCCGGTGTCGGTACTCATTGTGGGCGTCGGCGGCGCCGCCTTTACGGCGCTCAAGAGGTTGAGCGGCGACTCCACGTGCTCTCGAGGCTGTCGTACGTATAGGGATAACGTCCAGGTGAGAGAGAGAGAGAGAGAGAGAGAGAGTTATGTAATTTATTTA